GGCCCCAAGGGATAGCCAGAAAAGCACCACATTAAGGATGAGACAAAGCCCACAAAAGGGAAGTTCTGACTTTGTGGAGCCATGGCAGCCCTACTGTTCCCAAATTCCATGGAACAGTTCAGCAAAAGGGCCCCGACCTGGGAGATCTTTGAAAAGTTTGCACAGTATGTAAAGCGCTGCCGGGCCCCCAACACATGCTTCAGTATGGCAATGCCTAGGATCACACCCGCTTTTCTAGATTTACGTCTCAGCACTCTCAATGCAAACTGTGCAACTAATTTCTCTCTCCACCCATAATAGGGCAACAAGCACAGATGTATCTTGGATATCAAAACAAGGCCTCGGGGGACTCTCATTGTACAGGCAGTCCCCGGGTTACGCGGATCCGACTTATGTCGGATCCGTACTTACGAACGAGGCTTTTCTCGCCCCGGAGGACGCGGGCGGCGAGAAAAGCTGCTCCGCGTCTCCCTGGTCTGCTGGGGGGGACCCTCCCCCAGCAGACCAGGATTTTCTTGCGGACGCCTATGGTAGAGCAGCTGGGGCGCTGCTGGTTGGTCCCGCAGCTCCGCTCCTCAGCGCTACTGGATCAACCCGGCAGCACCCCAGCTGCTCTGTCCCAGGCGTCCAGATTCAGCTGCTGTTGGAACTGATCAGCGGCTGATTCCAGGAAGCCCGGGGCAGAGAAACTCTGCCTCAGGCTTCCTGTAGTCAGCCGCTGGTCAGTTACAGCAGCGGCTGAATCTGGAGCCAGTTCCGACTTACGTACAAGTTCAACTTAAGAACAAACCTACAGTCCCTAACTTGTACGTAACCCGGGGACTGCCTGTATTGAGGCTTCAGGGGGATGCCGAGTTAATCTGTACAGGATAAACTTTAAAAAAATGACAAATGGTCTGGTAGCACTTTAAAGTCTAACACATCGATGGTGGCTGTGCCCACGAAAGCTCCTGATCCCATCTATGTGTTCTGTCCGTCTATGAAGTGCTACCAAACTATTTGTTGTTTTTTAAGTTTTTGTTGTTTTTAAGTTTCTCTCATTGTTTCGCTATGGTGTTGGCATGCTGTGGCATTTGATTTGGGCCTCGCCATGGTGTTGGTAGACATGCCTCTGTGCTTCACAAGGAATCAATCAGTCAAGTTACGAGCTGCAGCAGAGAAACGGCTTGCCGAGATCCAGAGCTCTGCGCTCACGAGTCAACCAGCAAGCTCACATGATTTTGCCATCTCCACACGAGACTGTCGTTCAAGTGGACTAGGTCTATCTGACTGCCGCTGCTGGCGTCTTTGGGTGCTATCATAATAGCTACTCCGCTTAGTACTACTACTCCAGTCCAAATAGGAATCTCTACCCTAGTTGGCAATTTGGGAAGGGGGGGAGGGAGGGAAGGAAGGAATAGTTTAGGGCAAGAGTAAAACTTGGAAAGTTGAAAAAATAACTGCATGCTGTTGAGCAAGTTCAGCCAGCATAAAACAAAATCTTTACAACTGTGACTGCATCCATTCAAAACTGAGGAATAGGTTTGGTCTACCCACTACATCATAGTTGAAACAAAAGACAGGACTATGCAGCACTTTAAAGACTAACAAGATGGTTTATTAGGTGATGAGCTTTCGTGGGCCAGACCCACTTCCTGAGATCAAACTGGAAGAAAATTGGCATGACCATATATGCCAATTTTTGTCCACAATTTGATCTGAGGAAGTGGGTTTGACCCACGAAAGCTCATCACCTAATAAACCATCTTGTTAGTCTTTAAAATGCTGCATAGTGCTGTATAGTCCTGTCTTTTGTTTCAGCCAGAGCAGACTAACACGGCTACATCTCTATTACTATTCTATATCATAGTTGGCCTTCTGCTTCAGAATCCTGCATGGCCAAATGGACGGGTAGTCTGCAATTCTACATGGTATTAAGAACCTACCAGTTATTGCTTAGTGCACCAAGCCTACAATTCTGCATTACTGGCATTCTCATGTAATCAAATGTCTTCAACTCCCATAGATACAATATTGAAAACTAAAATAGGAGTCATTTCATGCATAACTGCCTTGAGAAAATACCGAATCTAAGCATACAGATGTTCCCGTAGTCAGTATTGTAAATAAGTATTAGTATCACAACCAATGCAGCGTTACTTTTTGTTTGTACAATCCTAAATTAATCTACAAATCTATCATCTTATGTGATCACAATTTGAATATGTAACTAAAATGAAGCATAATGTGGACTGTGTTAATGAAACTGTTTTTAGAAGAGAAAATGCCTTGAACTGGAACTAACTAGCTTTTTTTCCAGGGCAGTAAAAACCCACTCTGGTAAATACCATCCTACCCTGGGCTCTTGCAGGCAAAGACATCCCCCATAAAGCTCTTAAAAAAAACAAAAAAAAACGACATCTCATTTCAGTCCTCATTGGCAAAACCAGCACTCTTCAAAAATGAGAAACCTTGGCTGTGATTTGATTTTGGTTCCTTGCTGTCCTCCCTACAACGGTCTACCCTGCCTTGGATCCAGTCTGTCCTCACAGCTGCACCGGGATTATACCAATTTCACCCAAGACTGTAGTCCCCTCTGGATAGCTACGCTCGTGTTCATGCTTCAGTCGACAGATGATATTTGTACAGCATGTGGCCATCAATTTCCTCCTGGCTAGCTCATCTACACAAGCCAGGTGATGAGAAGCAGATGCAATAGTCACCACCCTTGCCAACCACACAACACTTCATTAATTTCCCTCCCGTCAGCATCCCTAGCAGAATCCCACATCCCCCAACACATTCTAACTTTGTTCCCAGATGATTGCTTACTGTAGTAGTGAACATGAAGCAGGAGTCTGGCTGGGATCCAGAGTAGGTACTCACCCCCACTCTTGGAGAACACTGCAAAGTGACAATGCTCCCATTCTGCTCCAAAGGACACAATGTGCTTCCAGCCGTTACGATGAAGCAGACTGGAGAATCAGTCCAGAGTCAGCCCATAGGAACCCATGTTATTTCAACAGCTAGTTTTAATGGGAAGAAGAGTCAGAATTTGGCATTCTGCCTCCAGCACGAGGATTTCCCAGTCCCACAGCTGTTGCCTGTCACTAACCACTATGGTGTAATCAGCCTTCAGAAAACAACCTAATCAAGTGGAAATCCAGAGGCCAGACTGATGGCAGAAGATACACATCTCCAGGCTACGCTCACAAATATCTGGTTTCTTCCCTTCAGCCCAGTGGTTTTCAAACTACAGGTTGGAGCCCAGTACTGGGATGCAGAACAGCAAGCACCGGCAGTCACCTTGCTCTAGGGTGACCAGCACAGCCTCTCCCAGCATCCCAGACTGCGCTGCGCCCTGGGGCAAGTCTGGCTCCTAGGAGAGGTGGAGGGGAACCCAGGAAGCACCATGTACTGTCCCCACCCCAAGCACCAGCTCTGCACTGTCACTGGTTGAGAACCGACCAATGAGAGATGTCTGGTGCCTGTGGGTGGGAGCAGGGCACAGCTTCCAGGGCGCAGCACGGTCTGCGGTGCCAAGAGAGGCAGGAAGCCTGCCTTAGCACCGCTGCTGCACCACTCACCGGTAGTGCCGGGTAAGCCGTGCCCAGACCATGAGCACCAATCCTCTGTCCCAGACCTGAGCAGCTCCAAATCCAGAGGCCCCTCATCCTTGGCCCCACCCCAGGGCCTACACCCTCTGCCCTACATCCCAGCCCGGAACTCCCTCCTTCACCCCAAATCCCACATCCCCAGCCCTACCCCAGAGCCCACACCCCCTAGACAGACCCTCACTCCCACTGCACCTTCCCACACCTCAAACCCCTCATCCCTGGCCCCACCCTGGGGCCTGCACACTAATCGAAAGTTAGAATTCTCTTGGGTCACAGGCATTAACAATCTTCTTCGACTTGGTCACAAGAAAAAAAAGTTTGAGAACCACCGCTTTCGATAGCTGTTCTTCTCACTGCACACAAGTAACTTCTGGAGAAGGTGATGGACCTCCCAGAATTCCATTACTGCTTTTCATCTAGCAAACCTAACAGTTGAGGCATAAGGTTCAAGTTCTTCTAGACCTTTGATCTGGAAAACACGTCCCTTTCTTCACCACACTTCCCAACAATGAGAGCTAGTGACGGTTGAGAAGTGGGATCTGAATGAGACTATTCCAGGCACTGAGCCAGCCCTGAAGTGTCTTGGTTTCTCAGTTGGGCCTTTCAGGAAGCTGGCTGGCTTGTGACACTCAAGTTAGGAAGCGTCTATGCTTGAAACACAAGAGCGGCATAGCAGCTGTGCTACAGTATAGACTCTCAGAATGATGGGAGCAGTTCTCCCACCACCTAGCAAAGGGGGTAGAGTTCAATAACTGTCCCATTGACCTTGTGCCCTCACCAACTTAAGTCAATTTAACTACATCCCCCAGGAGGGTGGATTGTTCACACCTCTGACCACTGCAGGGGGGGTTAACCAAGCTCTCTAATGTAGATTAGCCTCTGAAGTAGCAATTGGCAATGATTAATGACCCATCTTACTCCCTCATTCACTCTCAGCCATTTAGCAAAGCTTCCACCTCCTCTGACATGAGTGAATCCTTGAAGGGAAATACTTCCTTATGGGCACTCCCCTTTGAAACCAGAGAATTTTCCATTTTCCCTGAAGTTACCTGGACTGGTTTCCGGTATCACTCCTATTAAGAATGTTGCAATATTCATGTATTCAGTTCCAGCAGTCCATATTGAATTTCAAACAGCATTAGAGGCTTAGCACGGCTCAAATGGTCAGAATGGGCGATATGAAACAGCACAGGGAGGCGCTGCATAAATGCGTCTCATTCCAATACATATTATTGGCTTGCCACCTGTTGGTTACGGAGACGGAGTCACACACCACATTTCTGCCTATTATAAATGTCATCTGAGTGACCTCTAACCCTTCCCACAAGGGAGGCTGAGCAAAACAAAAGGGAGCAACACACAGACACACACGACACGGGAATCAAATTAGAGCAATGTGCTTACCCATCTCTCCCCTTGCTGACAATCTTCACTTCAAAGTAATAAATGCCACAAGCTGCAGGGATGGGGTGTGTAGCCCTGACTGACGCCGCATCTTTGTGATTTTTCCCATGACCTAGGAAAGAGTTGAACGATGAGCACTTAAGGGGGGCAAGGTCCCAGGCCATCTGTTTCGAAGCAACGCCACTCGAACGGAGCAAAGGACTTGCAACAGCACAAGTCATCCTGCGTCTGCTGAGAAATTGGAGGGTGACTCCTCAGCCCAAGCAGGCACAGCCACCCTACCCTGTATGTGAGCTACCCCATGTGTTCCCGCAGCTTGCTCTTTGCCTACCCTCTTAGGCAGCACACCAGTGCCCCCGGTTTAAGAAGTCTCAGCACCCCGAGCAAACCCAGTGTGCCAGATGAGGATGACATCAGTGTTTGCTAGGCTGGTGGGGGTGTCCTCCGCTCTCGCTGGCTGTTCTGGAAAGGCAGCTCCCATGGCAGGAAGGGAGGACATCCTGGGGCTCTGAACTCGCCTGGTTTCCTATGAACCCAAGCGCTGGAGGGGCTCAGCCGCGAGTCCCCT